CATTCTGTTCTGCTTCCCCTTCTACTGAGTTTCACCTACATATAAATTAAGCTTTAGGTAGTTCTTCAGGGCCTTAGTTGTGGGAGAAAATGCATTATACAGTAATGAGGGTTGGGGAAAAAAGAACCCAAAGGATTGTGCAACATTTCTGCCCTCCCTGAGTGAACCTTGGTTATGCTCAGATTCGGCACCTCTGCTATACCATAGTGCTGCTGCTAAGTTGAGAGTGGGGACTGTCTTAACATGGCTGTGCATCTGCATAGCATTTATTTCCCTTAATGTCCAGTGTACTTTCATTTGGCCCATACAGCTTCCGTGAGAGTCACAATGCAGCAAGTCTGACAATTTTACAATGATGCTTACTCCTTGTTAAGCCCTTAGTAAGATAGTTTGCAGGGTTCATTGTGTTAGTGCTGGTACGCCAGCATAGTTACAAAAAAAATTATACAATATTTTGTATCAGAGCCTACATGGCCAGCAGAAAAGCAAGGCTTCAGAATTGCCTGCTTTATGTTCTATTTTCTGGATAAAACCACACTGGATGCATATGTGTGAATGCTGTAGCACAGGAAGAAGAGAAAACAAGCAAAAATAAGGCACAGGATATAAGGTCAAACACTGGAGTTTTGGTTCTTCTATTCAACTCACCCCATCTCTAGAAAATAAACTCTTGGCTGGTGCTGGTGGCTCATGCCTATAATCCCAGCACTTTGGGAGGCTGAGGCAGGTGGTTCACCTGAGGTCAGGGGTTTGAGACGAGCCTGGCCAACATGGTGAAACCCTGTCTTTACTAAAAATACAAAAATTAGCTGGGCGTGGTGGTACATGTCTGTAATCCCATCTACTCAGGAGGCTGAGTCCGGAGAATCGCTTGATCCGGGGAGGCAGAGGTTGCAGTGAGCTGAGATCGCACCACAGCACTCCAGCCTGGGCGAGACTGCATCTCAAAAAAAAAAAAAAAAAAAAAAAAAAAAAAGAAAAGAAATTCTTTTCCAATTTCCCTGGTTGTGAGACATCATGACCTGCTGTGGGTCATGGGGCATACGACCTCTTAGGAGATGGGTTCAATCCTTCTACCTATAAATATCTCAATATAGCTATAGATCCTTTGGGCTTGAGAGTACGTGCTGGTAGCTAAAGTCACCTTAGGGGGCTCATTGTTTCCTTGCTTTTGTTTCTAGCTTGGGTAATCACAGAAGAGACACTAAGGCCCTGTATGTCAGGCATTCCCCAAGCTAAGATGAAATCCTTTCTACTGAGCAAATCCAGCTGTGCTAGGGGTGGGCACGTGTAACACTCTCTTCATTACAATGGACACTTCAGGATGCCAGGGATCTTGTCTGTCTTGTTCACAGGTTTGTGAGAGTAGGCACTTCGTAGATATTAAATGGACAGCAGCTCAGGTTATGCAAATATTTAATTTGTTGGGTTTAATGAAGGTGTTTTTCAGTGGATTGAGAAAGGATTCCCATTTTATATGTCCTAATATACTATTTTCATAAGCTCCCTAATTTGGATATGTTTAAACATTTTCTTTCAGGTAGTATTTACACATTTAGATGTGGGTTGTAACCAAGGTGCTCACTTGTGAATAGATTCATCATTATCCAACTGAGGCTAGAGGTAAGCTCCTCATCCCTATCTTCATCTGCTTTAAAGATCAATTTAAATGGAAATAAAAAGTCTAATATTCTAGAATGGCACCAAACCTAGAATACTGCAATACCAGGGTTGGGGGATCCTTGGTGCAGGTAAAGAGGAAGAATTATTTGCTGGGGCCAAAAGCCAGTCGGCATGATGGCATGTAGAGAAGCCCCTTGTAACAGCTGTCTGTAACACTTGGGTTCTCTTCACAAGTCATTGGGACTAGACTAATAGAACTAGGGCACAATGTAAATGGCTGGATTTTAAAAATAATTCTTTAAAAAGAATTTAAAAATGGCATTTAAGGATTGGTATCAAAAGGAAAGCCCCTATCAAGTGTCTCTTCCTACGAATGAAACAACTTGGGAGTAGGTTCTGTACTCTTTGGAGTATTTGCAATTGTGGAGAGTAAATGTCCATGGCTTCTAGAGGAACTGAAATCCAGACCTTTGGAAAGCGTAGCACAAATTGCTTGTAGAAAGACGTCTGCATAGTTAGCTCTCGCTGGCTAAGAGACAACAGGATGCTATACACATTTCAGGCCTGGGACAGTCTCTGCAGAACAGTTTAAGAAAACCAGATTACCAGGCAAAGGGAGGCAGTTCTCATTAGATCTTACTGGTGATTAAGAAACTTCACTAATCAGGGCCACATTAGAATCTTGGTCATCAGTACACAAATATCTTAACATGTTAGCAAAATAATATAGCAAAGAAAAAATATTTCTCAAAATTCTGAACAGATCCTAATTTTTTTCTGATAAAACAAAACAACAAAACAGACTGCATCTCAATGTACTTAAATAATAACACTGATAACACTGATCAGGTAAGCTGTTCCTACTCAGGAAGACAGCATGAAGTGGACAAAACCCACAGCATCTCGTTTAAGAACCAGGGCTCTTTGACCATGTCTGGGGCTCAATTTCTTTTTTTTTAATTTGTAAAGTTGAGACGATAAATAAACCCTGCAGACTTATTATGAAGATGAGCTAAGATAGAGAGCCTAACACTATGCCTAATATTTAGTGCTTCATAAATAGGAACTATTATTATAATGTAAAAGTGCATTTAAAAAATGAATCTTCATAAGAAGAAACATTGTTATAATCTAAGGAAATCACAGTGACTGGCAGAATTTTTCTTACTGACAGTAAGTAGTATCTTTCTAAAAAGATAAGATAAAGACCTCTTCCCTGTCAATGTTCACTATAAAAACTGTATATTGATTATATACTAATACTGTAAGATGCAATAAATTGCCAACTATCTTTATTAGTGTTAGGTTTGTTGCGTTTTAGCAAAATTAGTATTATGAAAATTACATTTTATTTTGACTTAATAAAGTTCCCCTGTCAAATTCTCAACTCTTGAAAGGTAATTAATATGTTTTTAAGAGTGTTTTATCTGAAATGTTCATCAATCTCCAAAAAGTGGTGCTATAAACAATGATGGAAACAAAGTATATTTCCCTATGACTTTGCACATCAATGAAAAACGTTTTTTCAAACCCTTATTCATGCACAAATAGTGGTAGTACTGAACCTATAATTCAGATTCATTATAGAGAAAACAGAAGCAGGGTGATTATGTGACTTTGTCAAGGTCATGTTATTTCAAACACAATTTTGAGACAGGAAAAGGTGGACTCCAAAGATTATTAAAATGAGCTTGACATTGATCACTTAACAAATTCTAAGGCAGATTATTAAACAGATGGCATGTAAGGAGTTAGAAAAAGAGGTAGTATGGTTTCACTAAAATGAGGCATTTCCAGCTGACTTCATTTCCTTTCTTTAATATACTAGCACATTAGGCTACTTCCAAAGACAGTGCATAGTGCATCTGTCTGCCAAACACGACAAAATTTTTGGTGTCCTTTTTAGGAAAGATGAAGAAACGGGCATATGAAGTGACTGGTAGTTACTGCAACAACTGTAACCAAAGTACTAATTAACGGATCACTCACCTGAAGTGCAGTGTATAGTGGCATTCTGAAGAGTCCCTGTATTGCATCACATTCAATTCAACATGTATCGACAACTTAGACAAAGCCACTAAATACCAAAGGTATGCTATATCAAAATTAGAACTGATGCAAGGCTAAGTGGAAAAACCTGAATTCACAAGAACCTTCATAAACTAAATTCAGTAAGGATGAATGCTGTCCTTCAATTAGGTTAATAAGAGACTGTTTAAAGACTAGGCATGGACTTAGCTTACCAGCAATACCTGTGAAGCTCAGCAAGAGACAGCAAACAGTATGACAGCCTGGCTAATAATGATGGTGGTAATAACAACATACAGCAACCATAACAGCCATAGGAGAATCACTCTGAAGTTGGCAACAGTGCTCCTGAACCCTGCCCTAGTTCGATCACAGAATTGTGCTTAATTCTGAGCAACATGCTTTAAGAGGAGTGAAAGAGCCAACCCTAGGCTGGTCTGGAATAGATATCATGTAAGATTTCAGAACGTGTGAAGCCCGAAGCATATGAAGAGGTGACCACACAGAAGAAACAGGACTTTCTATCTAATTTCACATGTGCTGTTTATAGAGAAATTTGGTGACAATCTTCCAACAATGAAATTCATCCTTTGCAGGGGTAACGAATGGCTCCATCCAGCAGTGGCTGAATGAAAATGATGAAATGATAAAAAACATCGACAGTAGAGGTATACCACTGTTTCTAGCTCGGAGACTATTTTTCTAGTACATATTTAATCTATTAGAGAAGAATTGGAATTCTAAACTTTCTAAGCATTTAAACAAAATGATTAGTTTTGGTCTAACTTTGTAAATTTTTTTGAGACAGGGTCTATGTTGCCCAGGCTGCTCTTAAGCTCCTAGGCTCAAGCAATCCTCCTGCCTCAAGCCTCCTGAATAGCTGGGATTATAGGTGCACACCACCAAGCCTGGCTAGTCTTTGTCTAATTGAATGGCGTAATTTATCAGCACCCAATTGACCCTTCTGAAATGAGTTCTCTAAACTGTTTGAGAACCACGAGGAATCTTGCTAAACAGGTAGATTTAATAATATTTCCATGCCTGATTTGCAGAAAACCACTGACATGAGGTGGGCTCCCTTCTTATTAACGGTTTCTGCAGTCCGGAGTCAGTGTGGAAATCAGGTTCTGCTGAAACCTACAGGATAGCTAAGGATGTTAGGCAGGAGAGGGCAAGGACTCAGAGACCCTCCAGCAGTAGGAAGTCCATCAACTACTTCTGTCTGGCTCTTCCTAGGGCTTTCTTATATTATAGTTCAAGGACTTTTAACATCACATGCTCATAGTGTTGTCATTAACTCTAAATCCTTCAGGGTTACATTATAGAAGTGATACAATTACACAATTAAATATTAGAAATGACCACCGAGTATATTCTGTTTATTGTTTATGATTTACACAGAAAATGATGGGCTGGGGTTGTAGAACAATAAACCAACCATTACATTTAGACCTGGGCTTTTGACAAACTTGCATTCCATTTTAACAATTCATATGTATCTAACAAATACATAAATCCAGATCACAAATAATCTTAAGAGTTAGAGATAAACAATTAAGAAACACAAAAGAAACCCACATAGATCTACTTTTAAATATCAGCATTCATATTACAAGAAATAAGAAAATGTTAAAAAAATAAAATTAGGTTAAGTCACAACATAAAATAGAGAAATAAGATAAATGCTATTTTATTAATATTCATACTTATTTCTAATTTACCTTCATATAGTCTTAACTTTTTCAAAAGGATCCAAGATATGACCAAATAATATTTTAGTATCTGAACTTGCCAGCCTTAGCTATACCAGAGCTTGTTACCATGAAAATCCTAAAACCTCAATTTTCTTTTTCCTTTTTAAAATTTAAGCCAACTCTTACTCAACTTTTCTCCTTCACAGCAGCTGTTTATAGATAGTAGGGAGCCAAGAATGAAGGACAGTAACAGATGGAAAGCAAAAAGTACAACAGCTATCTTAAGTTCTGCTCTCAACATTGCTGGTTGAGTTTGGAACCAAAACCTCGTAACAACTGGCAGATAATAGCTAAATCTTAACAGGCAAAGAAGAAATATTTTCTTTGGGACAGCTGCTATCTAGAAGAAAACCAAGGTCCCTTAATATAGTCTAAATATAATGTGTGGCTTATTATAGAGAAATCTTTAGCAACGTAAGTTTAACCAGTAAGTGTCACAACTGATCAACAGTACTTAAAAGGAAACAAACAAACAAAAATCACACTAGCCACAAATTTCCACAATATACATATGAAATTAATTTTAATCTGATTTGACTCCTTGACACTAACTGATCATTAATGAAATATGGTATGGAAAGATCACAGAGTAGAAAACAAGCAAAGATTAGTTTATACAACAATGACTATATACATCAGAGGGAAAACATGCTAGCTAATGCAACATTAAGGCCTGAATGTAAGCATTTCCAAAGTCACAGAAGCCCCAAAGAACTCCTAAATTACAAATTCATCACATTACATGCATGCAATGTTCACTTTTGTTTTACCCATAAAAGGATACACAGTATTTTGCTGTAAATACCAGACACATTTACAATATATGCAAAAATTAGAATGCAAGTGTTATGTTCCTTATATTTAAGCCTCAAATGTGCCAACAGTGAAAATTCATTTATTTTTAAAAATGAAAAAAAGAGACGGGATATAAATACTCAGAGGAATTACACAAATAAGATGTAACTCTGCATTTGGGAAGCCATATAAATATTCCTTTCATGTGCCCAAACTAAATTATCAATGGACCAATTAGATGGACGTACACTCACTATGTGCTTTACTGTTTTACTTGCTCAAATGTGATATTCTAACAGTCATCATTCTCTAGTGTTAACATCAAATCACATTTGTAAGTGAACTATTATGTCCATGTTTGCACATACTCTTCTACTGTGTGTGATTACCTAAAGGAGACACTGTGCATCTTAGTTTGGGGTTATATAATTACAAAGATGACCCTGTGCAAGTTTTCAGACCTTCCAAAATACTGTAGAAGCAAAATTACCTTAAACTAACTATATCCAATATTAAACAAATGTGCCATGAGTGTTCTGGGCCTTCAAGTATAATTTTTACCAAGGAGAAACAGGTTGGGTGAGGTTAGAAAGGGTTTCATAAGGCCATCTAATTCAGCTCATTGTACCAAGCCCTGAGCACACTAGATTCTTTGTATGCTTTACTAACCTTATGTTAAGCACATCCACTGGTTTCATTAAGGATTTTACTACCTAACTTTATTTCAGGGGGAGTTACTTCTAAGATTTAAAACTTTTGTAATGTTCTGGCCAAAATTTTAGCCTTCATTTGGCATTCTGAAAAGTCCTAATTTTAAACAAAAATGGACTTTCTGAAAAATTTCTCAGCATATGAACCAAGAGGTTATGGCGTAGCAAAACCAAAGGGACTAGTGAAAAAGCATACTTTACAATTTGTTTCATTTCCAATGAAACCAAATTTTACTACTGTTATGAACACAGTCTTAACATTTGATGCAAACAGGAGAGCTTAATTATAATCACTTAGTGGCAGTATTATAGACAAAGCCAGTAACGTATGCCACACAGATGATTATTTCTTCTGGAGGAAGTCAACTGATAAGCTTGGCTTTACAATTAATACAAACATATTCAACTAAAGAAAATGGATGCACTGTCTCAACATTCAGCCTGAAAATGTTTAATACTTTCTGCAAACCTAAATTTAGTTTAGAAAGGTTAATATTCTTTCTAAACTATGGCATATACTATATATAGCTTTTTTAAATATATTTATATATAATTATTTGCACATGAGATTTAGAAGGAATTTGCAGATTTACTTCGATACAGTGATCTCATTTCAACTGTTAAGGTTTAGGGCGCTTCTGCAGTACTGTCATTTGAAGGTGGGGCATCAGGATCAGGCTCAGAGGAAGGAGCTGCAGATGCTTCAATAACTGCAGGTGGGAAATGACGGCGGCACACAGGGCATGTTCCCGACTGGAGGAAAAAAAAAACGTTAAGAGCCACCAGAATCATCTTAACTGCCACACAAATAACTTAATAAAGAAAAAACAGTATCATTATCCTAATAATAAGTATCTTAACAACAAAAAATAAACTTCAAATCCACACAATGCAGAAAGACATTATTTTCATACTATTCCCTCTGTGCCCAATCAGACTCTAATTTCTTTGAGGGTAAACAATGTCTCTTATTAATGTTCATATCTTTAAGGTCATTCATCCTCCTTTATTTAGTGAGTTTTAATTAAGGGCTGCTAAACTCAGCAGTGATGCAATGGCAGAGGGTGAGCAAAGAATCATGGCACATGTCCGCATGGAGGTCAGAGTTTAGCTTCAACAATAATCTGAACGGAATTATCATTATTTAGTCTATTATGCATTTATTAGAGAAACCACAGACCTACTTTAATTCACATCAAATCATTTATGATTTATCATTTATGATTTGGTGTGAATTAAAGAAGGTCTACGGTAAATTAATGTAGATCTATGGCAAATTAAAGCCCCATTTTAGGGTAGCACAGATATGTCAAAGCAGATGGACTTCAGACTTTCTTCCTAAGCCATGACATTTCTTTCCAAAAAGAGATAAGAGTGTTAGGTGCCTTCTAAATGACAAAACAATCAGCCACAGACCTTGGAGGGAAGGTGGGAAGGGGAAAGCAGTTATACTAGGAGTACAACATTCTAGGACCAATGGATGATTATAAAGCTACATTATCTGATAAAAGATTATCCCCTTGCAAATCTGGTCTTTTTCCCAAAGAGAACTCCCTGCTGGAAGGGAGGCTGAAGAGATCATGCTGTTGAAGGTGACAAAGAACTGTATCTTGGGAACATTCTCCCCAGAAAAAAAGCGGGAAAGGCTTCACACTAAGATATTTCCTGACAGGAGAAAGACTGAAGAGACTGCTACCTTGAGTTACAGCAAAGTCTCAAGTATAATTCAAGGCTGTACAACATATATTATGTTTACCATTTAAGAATTCATTTTAGGCCGGGCGTGGTGGCTCATGCCTGTAATCCCAGCACTTTGGGAGGCCAGGTGGGCGGACTGCCTGAGCTCAGGAGTTCGCAAACAGACTGGGCAACATGGTGAAACCCCGTCTCTACTAAAATACAAAAAATTAGCTGAGTGTGGCAGCGTGCGCCTGTAGCCCCAGTTACACAGGAGGCTGAAAAAGGAGAATTGCTTGAACCCGGGAGGCGGAGGTTGCAGTGAACCGAGATAGTGCCATTGCAGTCCAGCCTGGGTGACAGAGCGAGACTCCGTCTCAAAAAAAAAAAAAAAAAAAAAATTCATTTCAGCAAACATTTATTGTTGGGCCCAACAGTAACATTTTAGAGTCAAATAGATGAGCGTGGTCTTGGTGAACGATGTACTAGCTATTTAAACTTAGACAAGTAACAATCATTAGAAAACAGGAATAAAGATACCAGTAAGTCCTAAAGTACTGTGAGGATTAAAGGAGAGATCATGAATCATTAAAGAGGAATCATCTGACAGTGACTGACACACAGCAGGCACACAAAACGCTGCTTCTTAAGTCTCTGAAACTATCGTGGGAGTTTAAGGACAGAATTTATTAAGGACAGAAAAGGTGGAATTTAAACTGCACCTACCTATATCATCTAATCTTACAGATGGTATAGGGAAAAAATCATGCCAGACTTCAGGAGCAAATGTATAGAAACATAAGCAAATGTACAGAAAAGTAAATCTGAAGAAACAGGTTGAGGTCTAAATCACAGAAGGTCTTGAATGTCAAGATTAAAGCTTCAGATTATTCCACAGGTGACTGGAGGTCTCTCTCTTTCTTTTATGAGAAGGGAAGTACATGATCAGAACTATATTTCATAAAAAGCCTTTAATGATGGAATGATAGATAATGAAGATTTGGAAGAGTGGGGGGTAGGAAGGGGGGAAGATAATGAGAAATTAGTTAATGGGTATAATGTATGTTATCCAGGTGATAGGATATCCTAAATGCCCTGACTGGACCACTACGTAACCTATGCATGTGACAAAGCTGCACATGTACCCTACAGATTTATGCAAATAAAAAAGAAATGAAAAGAAAGTACCTCTAAAGGAAGTGAGAAAATAAAGTAGGTAACTACAATAGTAGTTAAGACAACAAAGGTTGAAGGTCTAATGTATAGGAGTGGAAAGAAATGAGGGAATGGACCTCACAGACTCAGCCACGCTCAAAATTGTTAAGAGTTGGTGGCTCTGCATTTTCTGCTTCCCCACTAATTTTAATAACACCTACTTTCACTACTACCACCATCATGTACAGACACTGAAAAAGTCATTTTCTACTGAATTCTAATTTTCATTAGTAATAAGTTTACCATTACTTTTCCTACACTATATGTTTACTATGTGCCAAATACCATATTAAATTCATCACGAATTACCTACTTTAACTCTTATAAAAACCCTACAGGTTGGTATATTGTACAATACAACCATCTAGGCTGTATTAATAAAATGCCAGATAAATAGGTCAAGAAAAATCACCTAAAATATTATTTCCCAAATTATGTTCTGGGAGAGGGGAGAGAGCAAGGAAAACAGTATTTTAAAACTAATTCAGAATCCAGCACTATACCTCAATCCAGAACACCAGGACATCTCATGAGACTTGAGACACACATGATCTCTACACAGGCAATTACTCCTCAAATAGTACATGTTGGCACATGCTGTTTACTAAAGACTGCTAGCTCGTCTTTGTAACTTGTATCGTAAGTTTGTATTTGTGATTTTGTTGTTAATAAAATTAAAAATCTCTAATTTCTAATAACAGCTTTCATCTAACATGATTTGTAAAATATTTACTGGGCACTTACTACCTGCCAGGCACTATGGGTTATCTCATATACAGATATTTTATAAAATAACAGTGAACATTTCTAAACTGGATTTCAGAGATTTTAAGTGGAGTTTTGAGAACAATGAAGTGGCAAATAGAAATAGAGGAACAGCAAGAAAGGAAAAGGAAAAAGAGGGAAGGAAGGAAAGCAAAGGGAAAAGGGAAGGAGAAAAAAAGCACTGGTTATAGGGGAAAAAGATAGTTGTATTCCTAAGTAGATAATCTGGGAAAGTGACTTGGGAATTCCTAGTGAGCTGGATGGTAAATATCCTTTATGCAAAAAAATAGACTTCACAGAGAAGACTGAAGTAAAACACTCACTTTATTTAAATAATTCAAATAGGCTTAAGATTTATTGGGTAAATATTTGAAGGCAATATATAAAAACTGGAATAGGAGCTATTTGGTAGGTTATTAAATATCTTTCATAGACATTTCAGAAACACCAACCCGTACTAGCAGAATAGCTGTATATTGTTATAGTACTTTGAGTAGTGCCAAAGGCTTCTCTGCTTGAGATACTTTTGAAAACACCAAATTTCAAGGTTATGACTAAAATTCTAATCAGCTTTATTCTAAAATAATTTTTCAGATATTTAATCACTTCCTAAAATGATTAAAAGCATGTTATTGTTGGCTATGTTGTTTTTAGACAATGTTAATAAAATAAAATACTTCCATATTATCCCTGATTTGTAATCATTAAAGGCAACCAGTTTTTAACAATGAATTAAAAAGTACTACAAATTTGTAGCTAAATAAAACAGCTTTAAAAGATACTACCATTGGCTGGGCATGGTGGCTCACAACCTGTAATCCCAGCACTTTGGGAAACTGAGGCAGGCAAATCACCTGAGGTCAGGAGTTCGAGACCAGCCTGACCAACATGGCGAAACCCCGTCTCTACTAAAAATACAAAAAATTAGCCGGGCGAGGTGGTGGGTGCCTGTAATCCCAGCTACTTGGGAGGCTGAGGCAGGAGAATCGCTTGAACCACAGAGGCAGAGGCTGCAGTGAGCCGAGATCGAGCCACTGCAATCCAGCCTAGGTGACAAGAGCGAAACTCTGTCTCAAAAAAAAAAAAAAAAAAAAAGAGATACTGTTATTATTCACTTGCAGAAGACACTATTAAAGTATTAAATTTTAAAATTTTAAATTAATTATTCTATCACTCACCTTCTGTAGCCAAATTGAAACACAAGGTTTGTGAAAGAAATGGTGACAGGGCAACTCTGTTGCTATATCATCCTTAATATACTCACTGCAACAGATTGGACAGCATTGTTCCTGACCAATAGCTGAAAACAACAAATAATTTAGATCAATCACATATAGTTCAATTTTAATAAAACTGAAAAGCAATATATTATACTCAGAGACGATACCTCTGAAAGACGAAAGAGCCAATCTTTGATCAGTTAACTGGCAAGCATTTCTGTCAAATACTTGGCAATCTGGAATCTAATAAATACTGCTTTTGTAAAAAAGCTGACAAAGGAACATTTGACGCCGTCTATCACTTGAAAATTAAAAATATTCTTATACTAGGTGAGTTTGTAAGCATCTGGTTTCTATAAAAAAAACTAGTGAAAATTTCTAATAAACAAATATTTAATCATCCAGGTACACTGATAATATACTTAAATGTGCAATGTATTCCTCAACATTTGAGATCAGCTCTGCCCTTACCAGTGTGATCTTCAAGAACAAGGGTCTCTGGAAGACCATCGATGCTTTCCTTACTGGCTGGTGGATTGGCCACCTCAACATCCACTGCAAGAGACTCTAAATGTGCCAGAGCAGTCTGAAAAACAAAAGGTACAGTTCTTTGTTAGGAAATACTTTAAAACAGTAACAGAAAACTATTTTTTAGGGTATCTTCAAAATTATATCACCATTATTCTCTTCTTGTTAGTTTCTTTTGCTTTAGTCCTTTGCTCCTTTTGCCTCTTCAGAAGAAACTACCACCATCACCAACAAACCAAAACATTAAATATACATGCAGAGCCCAACTTTCTACATGTGAAATAAAAATATACCTTGTCTCGGCTGGGAGCAATGGCTCATGCCTGTAATCCCAGCACTTTGGGAGGCCAAGGCGGGTGGGTCACTTGAGGTCAGGAGTTCAAGACCAGCCTGACCAACGTGGTGAAATCCTGTCTCTAGTTAAAAAAATACAAAATTAGCAGGGCGTAGTGGTGCCTGCCTGTAATCCCAGCTACTTGTGAGGCTGAGGCAGGAGAACTGCTTGAACCCAGGATGTAGAGGTTGCAGTGAGCTGAGATCATGCCATTGCACTCCAGCCTGGACAACAAGAGCGAAACTCCATCTCAAAAAAAAAAAAAAAAAAAAAAAAAACCCCCGGGTGCGGTAGTGTGTGCTATAATCCCAGCTACTCGGGAGACAGGCAGAATTGCTTGATCCTGGGAGGCGGAGGTTGCAGTGAGCTGAGATCACCACGCACTCCAGCCTTGATGATAGAGCAAGACTGTGTCTCAAAATAAATAAATAAATAAATAAAAATCTACCATGTCTCAATAATCATCTACTTTTCCGTATTTATATTTTGAAGGAGTGGTTACTTTTTCCAACTATTGGTTCCTATGTGAGATCAATAACATGAAAGAAAGTAATAAACATTTTAGAAAGGTTCACTTCATGAAAGATAAAATGTGGCTGAGGCTACTAGATGCTCCAAGTATGGAAGCAAATAATGTGCTCCCGAATGGCTGTGTCTACTACTGGCATGGATTTGGCACACCCACATTACCAGCTCACAAGTATTACTAGGTTATCTGGGTTGTGAATTTCATTTACAGGTTCAGATACCTATGTCAAATTACTGTTCTAACAAGGATGGAAAGAACATCAGATCATGTGATCATCTGGTATGCGTCATCCTCATCCTTTCTGGCTCCAATTAGACTAGAACAGCAGTTGAGACTTTCGTCTTTTTGTCTGCAACCTGTACAATTACTTGCTCTTGGTGCACATGCTGCTTCGCCTGCCTGGTGCTTTCTGTCTATCTTTTAAGTCCTATCACTCCCTCAGGGACTGCATAAGTCCTATCTCTTCCATGAAGCCTGTCAGTGGTCCTAGACTGCACTAGTATCCTTCTGAACTGCTACTGTATTCAAAGAATTGGTATTACACAGTTTAATTATTACATGTTAGTATTATATCCTAATTACAGCATCATAAGATTATGGAGCTATGAAAGACCTTGGCTTCTTTGTAGGGATGAAAAACTTGAAGGAAATTTGACAACTATCAAAACTGGGCCTCCCATCCTGGTTGGAGTGCAGAATATTGCAGCTGCTACAGAAAATAGCCCAACAATTCCTCAAAATTAAAAACAGAATTATCACATAATCCAGCAATTCTGGTTCTGGGTACATACCTAAAAAGAACTGAAAGCAGGGACTAAAACAAGTATCTGTACACCCACGTTCACTGCAGCATTATTCACAAGAGCCAAAAGGTGGAAATAAATCAACTGTTCATTGATGGATGAACGAATATGCAAAATATGATGTACACATACAGAGGAATATTAGCCTTGAAAAGGAAGGAAATTCTAACACATGTCACAACATGGATGAACCTTGAAGACATTATGCTAGGTGAAATAAGCCAGTCACAGAAGGATAAATACTGTATGATTCCTATATGAGATACCTAAAGTAGTCAAATTCATTGAGACAGAAAACAGAATGGTGGCTGCCAGGGGCTGGAGAGATGGGAAAATGTGGAGTTACTGTTTACAGCAATGTGAATACACTTAATTACACTGAACTGTACACTTAACTGTAGCAATAGTAAATTTTATGTTATGTTTATTTTACCATAATGAAAAAAAAAATGAACAAGCCAGGTTTCCCATATAGAAGAAGAATTCTGCCTGACAGCTTAGCTAACACTCTATTCTTTTGGACGGCAAACTTACTATTTTATACATGCCTAAGGTTCTACCATAGATATTCCCGAAAAGAATTTGCGATAACTTATAATAGAAGATTACAACTTGCTTTGGGTCAAGCCTAAAGCAAAATCAGGACTAAAAAAGGAAAAAGCAAAAGGGTTCACCAAGAGTTAATAAACACAGTTAATATTATTGAACACCAAATTTGACTCTGGATATGCAGAGAAACATTGCAGAAAATAAGACACGCCGCTCCAGTAATTGAATTATTGCTTCTCAGCTCCAAATATACCTTTCATTTCTGCTCTTTGAAAACAGACTTGGGCATTTTAAATATTTTCCCTTTTGTTAGCCGACATGATTTTAAGTTCTGTCAGTAGAGGGTGCTGGGGAGACACTGCACACAGAAAGGACTTTGCTTCATGGTTCCCTTGGGCTTGCCCCTGCAGTGTGCCAGGCTTCCCTATGCACAGATGGCTTCTCCAGCATCAGGCTCCTCCAGTGTGGGTGGCTTCTCCAGTGCCTGGCTCCTGAAGCACATGCCGCTTATCCAGTAACTGGTAATTGCAGGACAAGGTAGCCAGTAGCTTCTCCTGGTACTCATCTTGGGTGGTTCTGCAGCAGAGTACCTAGGGGCTTGGTCACATCACTGTGAAGCTTCTCTGGTGCCCTAGAGGGCAGATTCTTGCCAAGTTCCAGAAGGCAAATTTCCAGCAAGTTCTGCCAGCGCAGCACCATAAATACTCCTCCATAAGCCATGGCTGTGTCCTTCCCAATAAGGTCTGGCTTTCAGCCTTAGAGGGGAGGGAAGTAGAGTACTCTATCTCGGCCCTAAAGCTGTTCCTTAAATCTGCTAATCCTATATTCTTTAGAGTTTGCTTTATTTCCTACTAGCCAATGCTTTGGTATTCTAAACTTCTGTTGTAGTTAATATTTACAGTAAATTTTCCCTGTTCAAATTACTGTATTTCTCTCTCTTGGGACTGAACTCAGACTGGTATAGAATTTGTATTAAGAGTGATCCCAGGACACATTTAAAGCAGTGTGTAGAGGGAAATTTATAGTACTAAATGCCCACAAGAGAAAGCAGGAAACATCTAAAATTGACACCCTAACATCACAATTAAAAGAACTAGAGAAGCAAGAGCAAACACATTCAAAAGCTAGCAGAAGGCAAGAAACAACAAGATCAGAGCAGAACTGAAGGAGATAGAGACACAAAAAACCCTTCAAAAAATCAATGAATCCAGAAGCTGGTTTTTTGAAAGGATCAACAAAATTGATAGACCACTAGCAAGACTAATAAAGAAAAGAGAGAAGAATCAAATGGACACAATAAAAAATCATAAACGGGATATCACCACCGATCCCACAGAAATACACACCATCATGAGAGAATACTATAAACACCTCTACGCAAATAAACTAGAAAATCTAGAAGAAATGGATAAATTCCTGGACACATACACCCTCCCAAGACTAAACCAGGAAGAAGTTGAATCCCTGAATAGACCAATAACAGGCTCTGAAATTGAGGCAGTAATTAATAGCCTACCAACCAAAAAATGTCCAGGACCAGATGGATTCACAGCCAAATTCTACCAGAGATACAAAGAGGAGCTGGTACCATTCCTTCTGAAACTATTCCAAACAATAGAAAAAGAGGGAATCCTCCCTAACTCATTTTATGAGGCCAACATCATCCTGCTACCAAAGCCTGGCAGAGACACAACAAAAAAAGAGAATTTAGACCAATATCCCTGATGAACATCGATGCAAAAATCCTCAATAAAATACTGGCAAACCGAATCCAGCAGCACATCAAAAAGCTTATCCACCATGATCAAGTAGGCTTCATCCCTGGGATGCAAGGCTGGTTCAACATATGCAAATCAATAAACATAATCCATCATATAAACAGAACCAAAGACAAAAACCACATGATTACCTCAATAGATGCAGAAAAGGCTTTTGACAAAATTCAACAGCGCTTCATGCTAAAAACTCTCAATAAATTAGGTACTGATGGGATGTATCTCAAAATAATAAGAGCTATTTATGACAAACCCACAGCCAATATCATACTGAATGGGCAAAAACTGGCATTCCCTTTGAAAACTGGCACAAGACAGGGATGCCCTCTCTCACCACTCCTATATAGTGTTGGAAGTTCTGGCCAGGGCAATCAGGCAGGAGAAAGAAATAAAGGGTATTCAATTAGGAAAAGAGGAAGTCAAATTGTTCCTGTTTGCAGATGACATGATTGTATATTTAGAAAACCCCGTCGTCTCAGCCCAAAATCCCCTTAAGCTGATAAGCAACTTCAGCAAAGTCTCAGGATACAAAATCAATGTGCAAAAACCACAAGCATTCCCGTACACCAGTAACAGACAAACAGAGAGCCAAGTCATGAGTGAACTCCCATTCACAATTGCTTCAAAGAGAATAAAATACCTAGGAATCCAACTTACAAGGGATGTGAAGGACCTCTTCAACGAGAACAACAAACCACTGCTCAATGAAATATAAGAGGACACAAACAAATAGAAGAACATTCCATGCTCATGGATAGGAAAAATCAACATCGTGAAAATGGCCATACTGCCCAAGGTAATTTATAGATTCAATGCCATCCCCATTAAGCTACCAATGACTTTCTTCACAGAACTGGAAAAAACTACTTTTAAGTTCATATGGAACCAAAAAAGAGCCCACATTGCCAAGACAATCCTAAGCAAAAAGAACAAAGATGGAGGCATCATGCTGACTTCAAACTATACTACAAGGCTACAGTAACCAAAACAGCATGGTACTGGTACCAAAACAGAGATACAGACCAGTGGAACAGAACAGAGCCCTCAGAAATAATACCACACATCTCC